GGAAAAATATTTGCAAACGAAACAACTAACAAAGGATTAATCTCCAAAATATACAAGCAGCTCATGCAGCTCAATATCAAAAAGCAAACAACCCAATCCAAAAACGAGCAGAAGACCTAAATAGACATTTCTCCAAAGAAGATATACGGACTGCCAACAAACACATGAAAAGATGTTCAACATCACTAATCATTAGAGAAATGCAAATCAAAACTACAATGAGGTATCACCTCACACCGGTCAGAATGGCCATCATCAAAATATCTACAAACAGGGCTTCCCTGGTGGTGCAGTGGTTGAGAGTCCGCCTGCCAATGCAGGGGACATGGGTTCGTGCCCCCGTCGGGGAAGATCCCACATGCCACGGAGCGGCTGGGCCCGTGAGCCATGGCCACTGAGCCTGCGCGTCCGGAGCCTGTGCTCCGCAACGGGAGAGGCCACAACAGTGAGAGGCCTGCGTACCGGGGGGCGAAAAAAAAAAAACTACAAACAAGGAATGCTGGAGAGTGTGTGGAAAAAGGGGAACCCTCTTGCACTGTTGGTAGGAATGTAAATTGATACAGCCACTATGGAGAACAGTATGGAGGTTCCTTAAACAACTAAAAATAGAACTATCATATGACCCAGCAATCCCACTACTGGGCAGATACCCTGAGAAAATCATAATTCAAAGAGTCATGTACCACAATGTTCACTGCAGCACTATTTACAATAGCCAGGACATGGAAGCAACCTAAGTGTCCACTGACAGATGAACGGATAAAGAAGATGTGGCATATATATATATACAATGGAATATTACTCTGCCATAAGAAGAAATGAAATTGAGTTATTTGTAGTGAGGTGGATGGACCTAGAGTGTGTCATACAGAGTGAAGTCAGAAACAGAAAAACAAATACAGTATGCTAACACATATATATGGAATCTAAAAAAAACCAAAAAGGTTCTCATGAACCTAGGGGCAGGACAGGAATAAAGACACAGACGTAGGGAATGGACTTGAGGACACGGGGAGGGGGAAGGGTAAGTTGGGATAAAGTGAGAGAATGGCATGGACATATATACACTACCAAATGTAAAACAGATAGCTAGTGGGAAGCTGCTGCATAGCACAGGGAGATCAGCTCGGTGCTTTGTGACCACCTAGAGGGGTTGGATAGGGAGGGTGGGAGGGAGACACAAGAGGGAGGGAATATGGGGATATACGTATGCATATAGCTGATTCACTTTGTTATACAGCAGAAACTAACACAACACTGTAAAGCAATTATATTCCAACAAAGATGTTAAAAAAAGAAAAAAAAGACGAGCTATCAAGCCATGAAAAGATATGAAGGAACCTTAAATGCATATTACTAAGTGAAAGAAGCCAATCTGAAAAGGCTGCATATTGTATGATTCCAACTATATGACATTCTGGAAAATGCAAAGCTTTGGAGACAGTAAAAAGATTGCCAGGGGTTAGGAGAGAGGGAGAGATGCATAGGAGGAACACAGAGGATTTTTAGAGCAGTGAAACTATTCTGTATGACATCATTTGACCAAACCTATAGAAGATACACTACCAAGAGTGAACCCTAAGTAAATGATGTACTGCGTCAGTGTAGGTTCATCAATCACAAAAAAATGAAACAAACTAACAAACAAATCTGGGGTATCTTATAGTGCCAGAAAATAAGGAAGTACTCAAAAGACAAAAGGATAGGGGCATGTGAAAGGGATACAAGAATTAATCTGAAAGAATTCCCAACAACTAAAACAATTTGAGCAACAAAGTAAATAGCACAGCACTGAAATATAACTGAAACCATGAAATATACATCAGTCCATCCTGATATAAATGATAACATAAATAAACAAATAAGAGCAAAGAGACAATAATCATCCATACAGAAGAATTCCAAATACTCCCCCCTTCAGGAGATGAAGCATAATTCCATCTCCCACTTACCAACCCTTCACTCCTACCTCCAGTGAGGCTGGGTGTACTTAATAACTCACTTCCAAAGAATAAACTGGAGAAAGGGAAAAACAGTACATTTTCAGTGGAGAAACTTGGCAAAGACTACCTCACCCAGGTAATGAAGGTTAATAGCACCATATGGATATCAAGTCCCCCCGACATGATATGACAAGAAGAGCACTTCACCCCTGCGGTATTTTTTCTAACCCTCCCTAAAACTTCAGAAAAACATCAGAAAAATACAGACTGGCATACTTTCTGCAAGTCATAAAAAACAAGCAAAGACTGAGAAACTGTTACAGACTACATGAGACTAGGGAAACATGACAACTAAATGTAATGTGGTACCCTACAGTGGATCCTGGAAAAAGGAAGAAGGCATTGATGGAACACCAGTGAAATCCAAATGAAGTCTGGAATTTAGTTAATTGTAATGTACTAACATTTGGTTCTTAGTTTTGACAAATGTACCACCGTAACGTAAGATGTTAACAACAGGGGAAACTGAGTGAGAGGTATCTAAGAAGTCTGCACGATTTTTCCAACTTTTCTACATTTAAAAATTATTCAAAAATAGAAAGTTTATTTTAAAAACAACAACAACAAAATTAAACTTTAAAATGGAGCCATAGGGCTTCCCTTGTGGCGCAGTGGTTAAGAATCCGCCTGCCAATGTAGGGGACACGGGTTCGAGCCCTGGTCCGGGAAGATTCCACATGCTGCAGAGCAACTAAACCCATGCGCCACAGCTACTGAGCCTGTGCTCTAGAGCCCGCGAGCCACAACAACTGAGCCCACGTGCCACAACTACTGAAGCCTGTGCGCCTAGACCGTGTGCTCAACAAAAGAAGCCACTGCAATGAGAAGCCCGTGCATCGCAACGATGAGTAGCCCCCGCTCACTGCAACTAGAGGAAGCCCGTGCACAGCAACAAAGACTCAACGCAGCCAAAAATAATAAACAAATAAAATAAATAAAATGAAGCCATAACCCCACTAAACCAACATAGATATCCTTTTGGAAAATGTTAACCTTCTAAATTTAACTACCATTTACTCCATTTTAAAAGTCTGTTAAATAAAATTTAGAAAAACTAAATTTAGACAAATTTAGTCTTCTTTAGAAAGAAGACTAACAATTTCTTACTGGAGATTAAATCATGTATTAATCTGAAACATGATGTACTGTATATTAATAGTACTAGAACTATGCATATTAAACTAGGAACATTTGATTGACACAGAAATACTTCGTAACACATTAAAAATATAAAACCTCATATTCTGCCAATATAATCTTCTGTCAAGTTTCACTGTACATTGTGTTCTTTGGTTCACTGCACTTTACTGGTAAAGAGGGAACATATTTAATCCACTAGTGATATTATAACCAAGAAACTTGGTAAATTTATACCTTTCCCATATTATGACACTTCTCAGGGGAATATATGTTGTCTCTAACTTTACAGATAAAAGAAATGAATAATGAAAGGCTGTTAGGAAAGGTTATCCAAAACTTGGATTAAGCTAAAAGGTAGACTGAACATCCTTCCAGTGTGATGTGGGGACACAGACCCACTCAAAGGTTATTTAACTACCTAGGGGAATGAACTTTGCTCCATTACTCTATTTACTATCAAACTAAATATCCTAGATTAAGTAAAGTTACATGTTCACTTATAGATTTTTGTCCAGTAGAGTTGCAAATCATTTCTGTCAGGTAGAAGACAAAATTCCAAAGGTTAGGGTTTATCGGTCTGTGGGACATTAACCAGTTCATAACTAACCTAGCAATCTTATTCTAAAATTCTTTTATTAAACTGCGTGTGAATCCACAGCTCCCCAAATAGTCTTTGAACTAGCCTTACTATTTTCTTCAGTAATTATTGAATTGAATAAAATATTTTATATTTCTATGAATCATGTTTTTAATTTTTTTAAATTATACTTTGACAGGCATAAGGAACTTTCCATGACATGCTTGACATGGCGTTTCCCACACACAGCTCTGCAAATCCTACAGTCTCACAGGGCTATTATGATTATAGTTTTTCTGCACCGTATTCTGATAATGTCAATTATTTGGTTATTGGAATTATCAAATATCTTTGTCAAAGGTAAATCTAAGTAAAGTATATATTATTTTCAAGACCCTCTTTACTCCACCATTGACACTCTCCATCTTGCCAGTAAAGTCTGTAAAAAAAATAAACATGAACACTATTCTATTTCCCCTGTTTTTCCACCCTGTGCATTTTAAAAACAATGGGAAATACACGATTCCCTGTTTCTACTGGAGCCATTTCCTGAAGAGATTTTTAAGTCTCAAGCTCTGTATGAGAAAACAAAGATATTCACATCTTCGTAGGAGACTCATTACTTGCTGAGTCGGCATTAAGAAATTACCCACAGAATCAGAGAATATAAGATTTAGACAGGACTTTAAAGATTTTCCTGTCCAATCTCCAAAAAGAAAGAAAATAGGGCAAAAAGGATTATAGTGACTTTCCAGAGGTCTGAGAGTGGCTAAAATTAATGTGATCTGACTTCTAATACTTTCTAAATGGGCACACATCTCCCATGATGACTCTGTGGGTTAATTTTCCTTCTTTAAACCAATTATTAAAAAAATATTTTTTCTTCTACTTGTTCCAGGTACCTCTCTTATAATTTCTAGGTGTACATTATAACTGCCTTTACTTTCATAAACATGATTCATTATACTTATATTTTGATTATGTGCTTTGAGGTTTAAACAAAGAAAGATTAGTAAAAAGAAAAAAAAAAACCCACAACTTCATATTTCCAGTGTTACATTCTTCACCAAAAACCAAAGTCTAGACTAATGTGATTTTTTTAGAAAGAAATTTGGATATTGTCAAATTTGTCAATCTAAATGTACTTTAGTGAATTGAAGTGGACTAATCACAAACATGAATTACAATTTTTAGGTTTGAGCATCAGGAAAGAAAACATTATTACACTCTCACCCAACCAACATCAGTAGTCCATTAAAGCAAAAGAGAAAACTCTGTACCCTGACATCACTTCTAGATGAAGTTGTCCTGAGACAGTTAAGAAAACAGGAACATTGAAGAAATTCTCCTCAGATACCTTTATTTTGCTTGAAGGCTGCAAAAGAAAACACAAGCCATAAAAAGCTATTATTACATGTTTTGCTCTGCTTTTCATATTCACGTTTGTGCCACAACTAAAAAATCATATGCTATTAAACATATATGAGGACAGGTTCATTCTTACGGGAAAAAAAAAGGCAGCTTTCAGTATACACTTAAAAGAGAAAATTCCTGCTTGGAAAGTGCTAAGTTCAAGGAAGTTTGCTCCATATTTTTCAAAATATATAACAACCAAAGGACAAACTATTTTTGTCACAAAATATACTCCCTCCTAAAAACTGATTTTGATTGAGGGGCAAGCTAAAGCAAGAAATTATGAATTAGAAGTATTAAATGTGAGGCATTACATAGTCTTTTAAAATTCTGACCCATGACTGAGATTTAATTTTAAGGGAATAGCCTCTAAAACATGTCTTGTCATATTATTATTAAATTATTAATAATAACGCTTTTAATACAGATTTTTTTTTTTTTTTTTTTTTGCGGTACACGGGCCTCTCACTGCTGCGGCCTCTCCTGTCGCGGAGCACAGGCTCCGGACGCGCAGGCCCAGAGGCCATGGCCCACGGGCCCAGCTGCTCCGCGGCATGTGGGATCCTCCCAGACCAGGGCACGAACCCATGTCCCCTGCATCGGCAGGCGGACTCTCAACCACTGCGCCACCAGGGAAGCCCTAATACAGATTTTTATAAACACATTATAAACTTTTAAACACGTTAATTTCACTATTCTTCCCAACAACTAGAAGATAAAGCAGGACCATATCTTTAAAAGATATGATGAACATTTAGATTTAAAGATTTTTATGAACTTACAGTATAGATAGAGTGATTATTCCATTTGAAACTGACAGGAAATAAGTGTCAGCCAACACTTATTAAAAGTTAAGATAAAAAATTATTTGGAGATCAAACATAATTTAAATAGTATAATTAAGAAAGCTTCTAGATCAAGTTATGACCATTATATCCATTTGGGGGAAGGAAGCTAATTTACCTACTCTTGTATTTCAAATTGTGATCTGAAAATGTCTTTGTGTAATGGTGCACTAAAACAAGTGCTGTAAAAGCAACACAGCCAATATAAAATTTTCAATACAGGATGTAAGACTCCTTTTAAGAGACTTAGTACCAACTACTGAATTATAGAAACACATGAAATGAAGATATCTTATTTAATTCCATCGGTTGTTTTAAAAATATTGCATATCATGTATGGTTATGCACGTGTATGAATATGAAATCTAGTGTAAAATTACCAACTGAAATCATTCATTTATTTTGTAATTGCCTATTATTTTTAAAACTTACTTTTACCTGGTCCTAAATGTCCTATTATTGCTTTATAAAAATCATCTTTGAAACCCACTATTGCTTAAAGGATATTGTTTCCAAGGACTTAAATACTCAATACTAAAATATTCGACTTATGTTAGGATTTCAAAATAAAAGACATGTTCTCTGATATTTCTTCACTATTTACTAAATAATTATATTTCAAACCAGGCCCAGCACATTTATAAGAATATTATACTTTCTCCTTTCCCTCACCTCTTTAGTCTATAATTTGTATTGGTGTTTTATCCTGACTTCTCTAAAAGTGATTTCTCTCATCTCCTGCACATATAAAAAAGTCTAATATTTAGGACTTGATTTTAGTATCTCATTTATTAGCATTTGTACAAAATGATGTCTGAGCTTCTTATATCTTTTTTGTTTTGTTTTGTTTTTGTTTTTGTTTTTGCAGTACACGGGCCTCTCACTGTTGTGGCCTCTCCCATTGCAGAGCACAGGCTCCGGACGCGCAGGTTCAGCGGCCATGGCTCACGGGCCCAGCCGCTCCGCGGCACGTGGGATCTTCCCGGACCGGGGCACGAACCCGTGTCCCCTGCATCGGCAGGCGGACTCCCAACCACTGCACCACCAGGGAAGCCCAGTTTCTTCTATCTCTTAAATCCAACTTATTTAAAGTTAAAAACATATCACTACTTCATTATGCCTTCCCATGTCATATGTAAGCATTTAAATACTGAAATTCATACTACTTTTTAATAAATTACTTCCTTTCAGTTCTCCTTTATATTACAGTGAATGCATTACAGTGACTTTAAAAACTTCTGTATGTATTAAGTTATATTACCTATATATTTTATTTCAGGATATTAAAGGGACATTATAAAATATTTTTTTAAAAAAAGTAATTGCTGGGGACTTCCCTAGTGGTCCAGTGGTTAAGACTTTACCTCCCAAGGCAGGAGGTGCACGTTCGATCCCTGGTCAGGGAGCTAAGATACCTGGCGGCAAAAAAAACCAAAACATAAAAACAGAAGCAATAATGTAACAAATTCCATAAAGACTTTAAACATGGACCACATCAAAAAAAAAAAATCTTAAGATGGTGGGATAGGTAGCTCCAAAGGCCTATCCCTCTACAGAAAAACTGAAAATAATGAGTAAAAACTATAAGCATCAAAGGTTTAAAGTCACCAAACAAATGCTGAATCAAGAAAGAGGAAACTTAAAAACGGTAAACTCCACCTAACAATAGCAGACTGCACACTCTTTTCAAGTGCACATGGACACTGTCCAAGATCAACCATATGCTAGAACATAACAAGTCTCAACAAATCAGATAAATTACCTTTTTTGAACATAATGGAATGAAACTAGAAATGTAAACTGGTGCAGTTACTTGGGAAAAGAGTTTGGTGGTTCTTTAAAAAGATTAACAAGAATTATTATATATACAACATACAAATTCTACCTCTAGGTATATGTCTAAAAGAATTACAACCAACTATTCAAACAACAATGCATTAAAAGGATTGTACACCATCCTTCATCCCAGGGATTCATCCCAGGGATGCAAAGGATTTTTCAATATTGCAAATCAATCAATGTGATACGTCACATGAACAAACTGAACAAAAACTATACAATCATCTCAACAGATACAGAAAAAGCTTTTGATAAAATTCAATATCCATTTCTGATAAAAAAAAACTCTTCAGAAAGTGAGCACAGAGGGAACATACCTCAACATAATAAAGGCCATATACAACAAACCCACAGCTAACATCACACTCAACGGCGAAAAGCTGAAAGAACTTGCTCTAAGATCAGGAACAAGGCAAGGATGCCCACTCTCGCCACTTTTATTCAACATAGTTTTGGAAGTCCTAGCCACAGCAACCAGAGAAGAAAAAGAAACAAAAGGAATCCAAATTGGAAAAGAAGAAGTAAAACTGTCACGGTCTGCAATGACATGATGCTATACATAGAAAAGCCTAAGACGCTACCAGAAAACTACTAGAGCTCATTAATGAATTTGGTAAAGTTGTTGAATAAAAATTAATATACAGAAATCTGTTACATTTCTATATACTAACAAAGAAAGACAGGAAAGAGAAATTAAGAGAAAATCCCATTTACCATCATATCAAAAAGAACAAAATACCTGGGAATAAACCTGTCTAAGGAGACAAAAGACCTTTACTCTGAAAACTATAAGACACTAATGAAGAAATCAAAGATGACATAAACAGATGGAGACATATACCATGTTCTTGGATTGCAAGAATCAATATTGTGAAAATGACTATACTACTCAAAGCAATCTACAGATTCAATGCAATCCCTATCAAACTACCAATGGCATTCTTCACAGAATTAGAACAAAAAATCTTACAACTTGTATGGAAACACAAAAGACCCCAAATAGTCAAAGCAATCTTGAGAAAGAAAAATGGAACTGGAGGAATCAGGCTCCCTGACTTCAAACTATACCACAGAGCTACAGTAATCAAGACAGTATGGTACTGGCACAAAAACAGAAAGATAGATCAATGGTACAGGATAGAATGCCCAGAGATAAACCCATGCACATATGGGCACCTAATTTATGACAAAGGAGGCAAGAACATACAATGGAGAAAAGACAGCCTCTTCAATAAGTGGTGCTGGGAAAACTGGACAGCTACATGTAAAAGAATGAAATTAGAACACTCCCTAACACCATACCCAAAAATAAACTCCAAATGGATTAAAGCCCTAAATGTAAGGCCAGACACTATCAAACTCTTAGAGGAAAACATAGGCAGAACACTCTTTGACATAAATCACAGCAAGATCCTTTTTGACCCACCTCCTAGAGAAATGGAAATAAAAACAAAAATAAACATATGGGACCTAATGAGACTTCAAAGCTTTTGCACAGCAAAGGAAACCATAAACAAGACCAAAAGACAACCCTCAGAATGGGAACAATATTTGCAAATGAAGCAACTGACAAACGATGAATCTCCAAAATTTACAAGCAGCTCATGCAGCTCAATAACAAAAAAACAAACAACCCAATCCAAAAATGGGCAGAAGACCTAAATAGATATTTCTCCAAAGAAGACATACAGATGGCCAAGAGGCACATGAAAAGATGTTCAACATCACTAATCATTAGAGAAATGCAAATCAAAACTACAATGAGATATCATCTCACGCCAGTCAGAATGGCCATTATCAAAAAATCTAGAATCAATAAAAGCTGGAAAGGGTGTGGTGAAAAGGGAACCCACCTGCACTGTTGGTGGGAATGTAAATTGATACAACCACTATGGAAAACAGTATGGAGGTTCCTTAAACAACTAAAAATACAACTATCATATGACCCAGTAATCCCACTACTGGGCATATGCCCTGAGAAAACCATAATTCAAAAAGAGACATGTACCACATGTTCATTACAGCACTATTTACAATAGCCAGGACAGGGAAGCAACCTAAATGTCCATCGACTGATGAATGGATACAGAAGATGTGGTATATACATACACAGTGGAATTTTACTCAGCCACAGAAAAGAATTAAATAATGCCATTGGCAGCAACATGGATGGACCTAGAGATTATCATATTAAGTGAAGTAAGTCAGAAAGAGAAAGACAAATATCATATGACATCACTTATATGTGGAATCTAAAAAAGTGATATGAATGAAGTTA